TAAAAAGTGGCTCATTAATAATCAACAGTGTCAGCACTGATGTGTGGGTGTAGGTGTTAGTACGAGTGCGTATTGTGAATGTTTTATTTATTAACATGACTTGCTCTTATCTATATTCAGTGATGTCATCTATTGTAAATATGTACATTTTATTTTATATTTTTGGTATAACAATGTCGTGGTATTTGTATTATTGCTTTTAGGATGTCTATTACCATCTGGCAAAGGGATTATCGGTGAAAACTAGCCTTTTGGCTAATTCGAGTATTTTACATGTTTTTAATATGTTGATTAATTAACTATCCCTTGTTTTAAATAAATCAATTCAATTCAATTAAAACCTTTTCTTATTGCTCCTCACTCACTCGCATACACTCTCACAGAAACACAGAAACGAACACCATTTTCTCAAAGCCAAGGGAGATACAGCGAGGAGCAACAGGACTAAATCAACTTTACACCTCATGGTTTCCAGAAGGAGCAAGTGCACGCAGACAGGGACAAGAGTTACTATGGAGAGGGGGTGGGAGGGGATGATGTGGAGGAGGGAATCAAACGGAGAGGAGAGGAGAGTCAGACACAGAAAAGTGATGCTGGGAATATACTTGAGGGGTTTTAAATCTGAAGCGATGGGCAAGACACAATGCATCAAACACAAAAGTTGTTTTGCAATTGTCAATTTGCTCACAATACACAGCTGCCTCTGTGCTTGCTTTGTTTCTCCTGTCTTTTGAGGATTTTTGTTCTTTGAATGAAACCCTGACCCCTCAAGTATTTTCCCAGCATCACCCAGAGATCAGATAAGAAATGTCTGATCTCTTGGACCTTTGCAGATGTCAAATAAAAGCCCATAGTTGAGGAAAAGGGATACTTTTACATGTTGCAGCACGAAGAGCACAGGTGACATTTTAAAATTGAATGATGGCTCGTTCCATATAGATTTGTTTTGCGAGGGTGATAGAATAGCTTGGTTGGCGACAATACAATGCTTCCCACATACACAGTATCCAAAATGGAAGCTGGTTGTATTTGATATATTGTAGTTTACGTGTAGGGCTTGTTTTCTTTCCTCAAACTGATGATGAATTACCAAATTGTTAAACTCATGAGCAAAACATGATTTACAGTTGCAGCAAACATCCATAAAAGACAACTGTTGCTACTGTACATGCAATATTAAAAAGCTGCATTTTGATTTGCTGGTTTAAACTCTTCCAATGAATCAGTTAAAATTCCATTCATGCAGTGGCTTAAAGTAACATCCCTAATAATTCTTGTCATGACATTTATAAAAGCACCTTTGCAGATTCTGACAGTTAATGGAGGATCATAGAAAGATAAAGATAAGGGGGCAAGGGCATGTATTGCCTCTGAAAACTATGAAAGTTATTTTTCTATCAGTTCTTACGGATTCAGGAAGTGTAGGGTCAGAAAAAAAGGATTATATGATCTCTCATTTCAGTTTTTATGAAAAACCCGGGCAGCAGCGTTTTGATTGGTCCGTAGTTTTACAATGAGTGCTTCTGGTAGGCCAGTATAAAGTGCACTTTATTTGGTCAACAAGTTAATATTACCTTTGAAAATTGATAACAAGATTTCTTACTCGTGGTCATGTCTGCATGGCCAGATGTCCCTTCAGATGTTGATGAAAGAGAAAAGAGGCAGGCAGAAGATGGACAGACAGACACACAGAATTTAGAGATGTGATGAGAGAGGGTGAAAGGAAAGGAAAAAGTTGCTTTTGGCGGCGTCTACAAAAGGTGGTGAGGTGATTTGAGGGAAGAGAGTCCAGGCACTAACATTTTTTGAGTCCTAATCTGACTAATGTGATTTGACAACCTCAGAGCCTTGGAGCCAACATTACTATTCTTCCCTCTTCTCAAACATACACACACAGCAACACTTTGGTCATTTATGCCGAGGAGCTGGGTACGTTCACACATGCACTTCAAAAAGGTTGCTGCCTCTGCGACTCAGAAATGTTTCGCTGTGAGGGAAAAATAGATTATTGAACACCACACTGAGCAACTCTACAAAGACCCGACATCATTTAGTTTGTCATAATGTCAGGCTGGAAATAGATTAGCTACAAGTTTTTAAAAAACGGAACACAGAATGAAGGCCGACAGCGCTATAACTTTATTTTGTAGCCGCTTTCGACAAAGACTACATCTTTGCAGCACTGTGGTGCACTGCATTGTGGAAACATGTTATTTGTTCATGTGGTAGGAGACTGCTGTGTCTCCGCTGCACCACATTGTGCAGTCATGAGCTCCTGTATACTGTAGTTCAGTGGTTGACAAAAAGGCTCACCTGACCATGAGGCGCCCTGAGGCGTTACTACCTCCTTTCATTGATTCCATCATTGCCCTCGGGATCAGACACCTGCCTGCACAGCTGCTGCTCATTTGCTCATTAGTCCCCCACCATATATATAAAAGGCAATTTCACCATACACAATTCCCAGGTGCTGCTGTTTGTTTGTTGTTGTTGTTGTTGTGTCAAAGACATTCATGTCGGTTTGAAAACTGTTGCTGGTTTTTCTACCTGCTGATTCTGCATTGTCCGTTTGCCCTGCAACTTTCTGATAGTAAGGGAGAACATCTTTATACATGTGTTGCTTCTTGTTTGCTGGGAGGGCAACATTTTGAGTGAGTGAAGTGACTTCAGTTCTCCTTGAGTTATCTGGTTTTACTAAACCTAAGCTAAGGTCTGTAATTATGGATTACAGTACTCATGTCCCGCAGTTCACGTACTCAATCTAGTAACCCCAGTTTTTCCAGTTGAGCATTTGCCCACAGGAGCTCATGTTGAATAAAATATAAAGAAGAAACAAAAAAAAATCAAAAAACATTTTGACTATAAAAACTTGAGTTTTATGAAAAAGGGTGTTTTTTCCAAAAGTATTTGTTTGGGTAGATCATAATCTATAATGAAAATAGTTTTTTGCTTTACAAATAACTACAGACATAAGAATGAGGTTGTCGTTGAGAAACATCGTCTACGACCAGATTGTTTTACAAGTAGCCAGTGAAAAAGCTCATTTTAAGCCACAAAGCCAAATCATTGTCAGAGTTAAGCCAAGATTGTTTTTTTAGCATTTCCCCCCCATTTGCTTTTTACATGAACTTTTTACCTGCATCGACCAAATCTGCGAGAAAATGATCAATACTGGTCAAAGCTACTCGACTGCAAACGGAAACAAAACACTTCTGATGCCAGGGTTTTGTCCCATTGCCTACAGACTGTTTGTATGAAGGCACATTCTGTTTATAGAGATAGGATGCAGCCCTTATTGAAGTAAACCACACTGCCATAGGCAACCATAGACAATATGTGTTAAACAAAAGTGTGGCCTTTCAATAGAAACAAGCGTAAAGGAGACTCATTTATGTTATTCCTGCAGCGATTGATGTGGGCCTTCAAGGGCTTGAACAACCAATACTTAAAACACTTCACATCCTGAAGGAATTATTTAGTAATAACTGATCCTGAGCCATCTTGAAAAGGTTGTCAGTATTAGCAAAGTTAGATTATCCGGCACAATATTATGCCCATTATTGTTAGGGTGAGTGACATTGGTTGGGACAAAAGTGTCACAAATCATATCTTCTCAATTAGAAGTTGAACTCCGTACATTTACCAAAGGACCTTTCTTTCACTGCTCAATGAGGGTTTTATTCTTCTATTGTCAGAGGGTTTATTTTCTGATCCATTGTGAAGTGGTGTAGGCAAATAGGATTCCCATTGTTCTGAACAGATAGTATCAGAACCTCAGTGTTCTGCGTGTCTCTCACTCCCCTTTTTCTTTTTTGGTGCATTTACATCTCTCTTTCTCCCTGTTAACCCTCAACGCCTGGCAGATTCATGTCCCGTCCATATATTTACACCCTCTTTTACTTCACTTCATTACTCTCCATATCTTCTCCTCTGCCTGTGTCCCTCTCCACCCCTCTGTCAGTGACAGGCGAGGAGATATAGCTCTGTGATGGTTTGTAGATTTTAAGTGCTGCGAGACAGTTGTGGTGGTGACAGAGCGTGTGTGTGTGTGTGTGTGTGTGTGTGTGTGTGTGTGTGTGTGTGTGACACACACACACACACACACACACACACACACACACACACACACACGCTCTGTCACCACCACAACTGTCTCGCAGCACTTAAAATCTACAAACCATCACNACACACACACACACACACACACACACACACACACACACACACACACACACACACACACACACACACACACACACACACACACACACACACACACACACACACACACACACACACACACACACACACACACACTTCACATGGCTACTGCTCTGAAACCAAACATCTGCTACAGCCTGTGTGATGGACCCACATTAAACCCATCATTCATGATGAACCCAGGATAATTCAAATGCATTCAAAAACAAATGTTGAAAAACCCCCTCACATGTTGCTGGCCCTTTCATTTATGTATTCAACTAAACGGAATCTTTTAAATATTAGTGTGTGCTCCATCAATGGCAGCCACATTGTAAACAGGACTAACAGGAGACACTTTTAGAGTATTTTAGGGGACACATTCTGCACATCACTTGATCCTTTGCCGACGACAATCTTGACGGCATGTTACATTCATTTGGTGGGGAAATAGCCACTTGGCTTGTCCTAATAGTGTCATACTGCACAAAGCACAGCTGTGACACGGAAAAATGTTGGCATATATTGGAAGGTTTCACAATGTCCAACAGAGCCCCATCAACTACTCAAAGAATGTAAAAATGAAAGCCCTTAAATTCATTTTAATCTCTGCTGTTATTGATAACAGGGGGGCCTTTTGCTCAGTCTTTTTCTTTCATTCTAAATACGATTTTCTCTGCCAGTCGTTGTTTCCTTCCGAGCTCTCGGTAACAGTTATCCATCTTTTACTCTTCCCTGCGCCATTATCTCTTACTCTTTTTTCTCCCCCTCTTTCCTCCATGTCCTTACAATTCTCCTCCATCTCTCATTCTTTCGCCCTACTCTTCTTTGTTTATCTCTTGCCTTCTCCCTCAAGAAATGTAGATAGGATCTTTCGCTAGCATGAGAAATGCATTTTTAATGAGCAATAAATGAACAAATACAACAAAAGCCCTCCGAGTCAGTGTGCAGGTGGTGAGAGTGTGAATGTGGGAGAGGGAATGGGTGTGTTTATGTGAAGCCCCCGACACACACACACACACACACACACACACACACACACACACACACACACACACACACACACACACACACACACACACACACACACACACACACACACTTCAACAAGTTCCATAGTGTTGCTCAAACTTAATGAAATAAGTTGTGTGTGTGTGTGTGTGTGTGTGTGTGTGTGTGTGTGTGTGTGTGCGTGCGTGCGTGCGTGCGTGCGTGCGTGCGTGCGTGCGTGCGTGTGTGCTTACTTCTGCTGTAAAGCAAAATGTCCACGAGAGTCTCCACTGTAAATGTTATAGGTGACAGGGTCCCTCTCCCGATCCACTGCCTGAAGAAGTACACACAGACAGACACAATACATTGACATGAATATTATTCAATTTCCTTTAGTACATTTGAACCGTGCTCAGGGTGTTGTATGACAGTGATATCCGACATGACGTACTTTTGCATTAGTCAAGGCTAAGAGGACGATTGCAGAGAAGCTCAAATAATTTGAAATGGAATAAAAGAAAATCTGTATTTTCAGTCAGCAGTAACTCCTCAACATGTGTAAGGAAACTTTAACAATTTAAAACAGAAGATGAAACTGATAATGTAATCAATAGAAAGTTTGAATAGCTTGCTTAAAGTCATGATGGAATGGTAACCTAAAATAAATGGACAAATGGTTAGTACTAAGCTAAAAGTAATGGATAAATAGTTTAAATAGTTGATAGATGCATGACTGATATAGTTAAAATAAATGACTTTGTTCAAATAGTTCGCGAAATGTCGTGTATAAACGCCTGATACACCCAGCGACTGCTAATCTGAGCGTTAAGAAAAACTGCAAACTTGATCAAACTTACCAACAACATCCAGTTTGCAAAGTTTATGTGTGTGGAGCAGAGGTGGAGGGGACACCAGCTCGTATAAAGTGTGATTGTCCCTATGTGTGTGACAGAAAGAGTGATTGTGTACCTGCAGATTGAGTAGTGTAGCTCCAGTCCTCATAGCTTCACTGATCTCCAGGTTGTACTGTTGCCGGGGGAAATGGGGAGGGCTCTGATTGTTCGGGGGCAAAACTTCGATATAGACCGTGGTAATGGATGACCTAAAGAGAGAGAATGAGACAAATAAGTTGTGTAAGGCAGGCTACAGATAAAGAAAAAGCCAGAAACAGAAGCAGATAAAGATGGAAAAAGTGGGAGAAGGGATGAGAGGAGGAGGAGAAGAGCTGGAGGGCAGCACAAGAGGATAGCGGGAGAAAACAAATCTGTGTCAGGAAGGGTGAAGGGTCTATTATTTAAGTTAAGAGTGGAAGGCCAGTGTTTGTTTCGTTGCACTTCCTGCTGTGTTTGGCTAATCAATAAGAGCTTGAAGTCAAAGACAGCCTGAGAGGCAAACAGACCTTTTTCCAGGTTTAAGATGCTTTATTTTGACAAACTTATTGTGCTGTTTCAATGATTCACTTCAGTAGATAGGCTAATGCTGTTTTACTGTATAAAAAAGTATGCACACATTCTAATAGAAGAATGTCTGTTTCTTGTTAGGGCAGGATTATTCCTTAATAATCTGAATGTATGAGCCTTGAACCAGAGGGCATAAACCTTTATTATCATGTTAGAATGAATACTAAGGGGTTACACTCATTGCATTTAAGAATGAGAGTAGTGATTGTGCAGATGATCATTAAATACATTCAAAGAAAAAAGCTTACTTAACCAACTGTGGCTAAAACAGTGGATTCATGACTTTGTGACAGGTGAAAAAAACATAATTGACATTTTTCAAGAGGGATTTGCAGGAAAGTAGGTTTTTATAAAAGAAGACCAAATGGGCTTAAAGTGAATTTAGGGAAGTCAAACGTTTTCAATTTGTAGAGTGATGACATTTTTATTTTATTTTGAGTGGTGTACAGACTGACATTAAATTGTTTGACTTTTGTCAAATGAAATCTTAATTATACCATGTTTTCTTCCCCTCTGATAAAAAGCTTTGGCTGTTCAATAAGACGCATTTACTGGCATTTTTGGAATTAACATAAAACTTATTTTAAACACCATGTCACTTTAATGAGCTTCAATTGACAGAGCTGTTTATTTCCAAGGCTGTAAACAGCTTGTGTCAGTTTTTCTTTCTGAAGATATTAGATTACCTAGCAGAAACTTGTCATGTTTAGAGAACTACATTTGTCAGCGCTCTGGCGAATCAACCGCCTTACATAATTGAGAGATAACAACGCACTAAGTGCAAATTAAACTCAGACCCAACTGGAAGCAGACTTGACATCTGCTATACCAATTATTTTAGATAACGCAGTCATGTTTTTTTGATCCTGGACGAGGCCTTCCCACAGGAACAATATTGATGAGAGCTGGGACTCTCAATAATGATTCTCCACTGGCGTTCAAAATAAAACGCTTCACTTTGCAGGGAACATGACTTTGTGGAGACAGATCAGAATACTTAAACTATCATGATTTAATATCTCACGACTAAACAAAATGTAGCATAAGACTCAATAAGATTAATCTCATATCTAAAGGAAATCATGCTGCAACTTTTACACAGAGGTCAAGAAGAAAATGTATAATGTATTATATACTAATATTATAATTAAAATATACTGTATCAAATCCCCCCTAACTTTGAGTTGTTGTCTCTTCACGATATATAACTTTATAGTAAAAAAAACACAGACAAATTGTCAAATACACTGTGTATACTTTATGTGCATTTAAATTAAAGGGGCCCTATTAGGCTCATTTTCAAGTTCATATTTGTATTTTGTGCCTCTACTTAAAAACACGACAACAATCTAATTTGAATTAACTAATATTAAGTGCCAATACAAACACTATTTAAACATGTTCTTAAGGAATATGTTGTGTCATAAAGGTCAGGTATAATCACTGAAAAAAGAAGTTTGATTTTGAAAGCATTTGGCTGTACAGCATGCATGACCCCATGAGGTCAGTGAGGTTATCAGGGTTAGACGTATTCGATTATTTCCCCTCCTGCCTTATTAAAGGAATTTGAAGTCCCGGTGCTTGTTCATATAAAACAAACAGTTGCTCAATAAAGATTGTCTGGACTGAAATGTCACATTACAAAGAAAGACTGCATTTCCCCAGCCTTGTAACTCGATAATACAATTCCAATTTTGTTACAGTGGTCATTACTATCTCTAACTTTATTACAGGTTGGAGAAAGACCAAATACTCCCATTTCCTAGCTTTGCCCCCACATGACTTGAGTGATCTTTGGTTTACTCAACCTGAATTTCGGGATGACGAACGGTTGGGGTTTAGATTGTGTTTCTACATAGTGAGAGGGCTGAGTTCTAGCAGGGAGAGATTAACTCCACTCAAACTGGAACTGAAAAAGCCAAAGAACCTCGGGTATAAACAATAGCCCACAAAATCCATTTATGTTCAAAACAATAAGTAGACAAAGTCTGGGAAAACTGGAAGCTGCCAGAGAGAGTGAAAGCCTGTGTTTTATTAAAACAATTCAGATGGCATTATTAATGAAAAGTGATTGAGGGAATGGAGATTATTCAGTTGTAGTTCCTACTGTAGCCTATTTTCCCTCTTCTTCCATCATATAATTCTGTTTCACAGGCAAGTCCTTCTTTTCAAACTATTCTTTCTAATTCATTATGCATTTTCCAGTTCATAGTCATTGTTCGAGAGAGCTGTATGTGTGTGTACAGTACACACACAAACACCAGCCCACATGCGAGTACAAACGTGCATGATAAATGAACTGGCTGGTTTGCACACAGCACTCAAATGTTTCTGCTCATTGGCAAAGTGTTACCCATTCTTCCAAGTAACAAGCCCAACACTGCTTGGGACTTGCGTATTTTACAAAATGCCTCTTATGGTACAAAATGACTTCTTTATCTTGAACTCTATCTAGTTATTTATCTATCATCTCACCCTATCTTATCTGTTCTCTTTGGTGATGCCCTCTTTTCTCTCTCACCCGACAGTTTGATGAAAGTATAAATGAGACCCCCGAGCGTAAGCTGTTTTCAATATTCTGGGGGTGCATCTATCTAGGCCATGCAAAAGCACTTCTAATCTGAATGAAACACGTATCTCAAGGGTTCTTCAACAGTCCCCCTGACACGGGGATGTAATACTGAGATGAGATCCAAAGTCATTAAAAATGCTGTGATTCATGTCTTCTAGGTGCCCGCCAGCCAAAAGGCAATGCCGCTCATTCATGGTCCTGACCCATAGTTTTAACAAATCAGGTAGCAGAAATGGAAATCGATTTGTTATGTGGGTTATGTTTTCAGCTGAGATAAACAGGGGGTCTGGGGACATCTGGGGACAATCTGGACCAATCATTGGAACCACCTCAATCTGCAGTGGTTCAAGTTGTGTATTGATTTGAGCCATGTACGAGAGGGGACACACATTTATTTTTTATGAGTGATACAATGTGTATTTTTGAGGGATGAATCCATGCAGTAGGGAAAGTTAAATCATTATAAAAGAAATGTTTGGCTGGGAGTGCTTCCTAGACTCATAAGAAGTTGGTTTGGGGGCTCTTTGGATAAGGTTAGATGTAGACAAAACTCTTAAGAAAAATACAAGACAATCAGTTTTTAGGGGGGCCCTATTGTGTTCTTTGGGGTTTTCCCTTTACCTGCAAAGCTAAAACCCCAAATTTCCCCTCAGACGGAGTTTACCTCCCACACTAATCCCCCCTGCCTAAAACGCCTCCATTTGACTCCTTAGTTTACTTCTGTAACATAGTGACATCCATACTTGCCAACCTTGAGACCTCAGAAACCGGGAGCATTTCAAAACCACCGCCGGGGTTAGATTAACATTAACATGCTTATTGTAGTTGTAAGTGCAATGCCTTGCGGCCGGTTGCACCATCCTTGATGGAACATATGTGTGGGCTGGACCTGTATTTTACAGGACAGGAGTGAGCAGAGGTTCGAGTTGTCGATTCTTGTTCTGTTTTCTGTGACTATCTGCCTCACCCTCGTTAGACTTTCAGTTGCGTGTGCTACTAAAGAGACGCGCTACCATGGAAACCAAACAATGGTGTAGCTGTATTAAAGTCCGAGTGGAAACAGTCGTGAGTAAATCTGATTTTGTCAGGAATCGGGAGAAATGCGGGAGAAATATGACCCCGGGAGGAAACCGGGAGAGGGCTATGAAATCGGGAGGGTTGGCAAGTATGGTGACATCACAGAGTAACACATGCGCTTCTATTGGCTGGCGTTACAACAGATCGGCTAACGGGCGAGACATCTCTAAGTGGTTGAAAAATCACAATAAAGACATCCAACTAACCAAAGATATAACAGTGTAGGCATAACATACAGATATGAACCTGAAAATGATCATAATAATAATGTCCTCTTTTAACAATTGAAATGCCTTTTAGGCCTTCATAAGCAAGTCAAAAAAGGCTTAAATACTGTAAACTTTTTAATATCCGCGATGTTGAGACATTTCAAAGCTTTTAATTATTTGTTTTTAATAGTTACAGATGTCCTGAGGCTGATCCACTTTTGGGAAGTGTGTATTTGGAGTTCTGGGGCTATTTAAAACAGCCAGGTTTCGCACTGCAAACATTTTGCTTCTGAAAACCTATTCTATTAGTTGGGGTGATATGAAAAGAGTTGCAAGTTGGATTGAAACTACCATGCTCTATGTGAGGGTAACATGCACTAAGAGCAGCAATGTGTGGTAAAAGAAAAGAGAGAACTGCAGCATTATATCTTTTTTGAAACAGTTATAAGAGTGCAATGCTAAATCGGCAGTACTTTTTTATCAGTTTTCCTTTGCCAGAACAAGTCCTTTCAGGTCAGCTTGGCATTGCCGGTCTCTTAGAGATTTAAATCAACATTAGGGCACAGAAACATTTATCCAGAGAGACCAACATATCTAAGAGAGGCAAGGGGTTTAATGTGGACTTCAAAATAGCTCACAGGGGAGGTAACTGCTGATGGACACACTGTCATGTGCAAAACGTTCATACTGCTTTCCTACATTGTAACATTTAACTGGGTGCCAGGGGACTTGATTGGATTTGATTACATTTTCATCAAGAGAGTGATGAACAGAAATATGCACTGTTGGACATCTGACCATTCAGAGAGTTTCTGAATACTCCCTATTGGACTATAAAACAAACTGCCTACGTCATCGTGATCGTAGCAGCAGCATTGTCTTTTTCTCAAACAAAAATCTTAAATAAGTGTTCCTGTGTGTCAGTAACTACGTGCTGCTTTTGTTCAGTGCTTCTTGATTGAAGACGTGTCCTTTCTGCAAGGACACTGCAGTCTTAATGTCTCCTTTAGTCGAGACATTCCAAAGTGCAAAACACAAAGAAGTACATCCAAGTGAGCTGTGAGTATCAGGCTGCTGCTCATTCTGGCACATTAGCTCAGTTTTGTACGGCTTTTGTTTTTATTGTTGCCAATATGGGGTTTCCTTATGGCGTTCCTGTATTAGATGACACAAAATAAGACTCAATCACTGAAAGAAGAATGAATAAGAAGGAAATCATGCATGAAAAGACGTTTTTTCTGCATCCTACAAAAGCACATGCCTCTGTTGTTTGATGTTTCCTGAGTCATGTTGAGACATAGTGCTGAGAAAACTCTCCACTAGAGCAGCTGTGATATCAATCTGTTAAGGAATTGTAGATTGACCACATTCCAGCGGGTGAATGATTCGCATAGTAATTGCTAAAAATAAAATTTCACAATTTAACGGCTCTCTGTCAGACTTTAGCTACCGAATCAATACCCACACACAGAGTTACAAAATATTGGTAGCAGATGCATTTATCCATGAAATAACCCAAGTTCAGGGAAAGCCGGAGTTTGTGAGCTGCTTAAAAGTTATGGCTCCTTCTTGATTTAATCCATGAAGGCGAGATGAATGGCAAGACACGGGAAACAGGGGGTAGCGGTGGAAAAAAAAGAGAAGAAAGCATTTCTGTGTCAAGTCAGTCCTTGTCCTCAGGAATGTGAAAGGGCCAGGGTGTATTGTATTATGTTTCTTTTACCATCTTTGGCATTTATTCTAGTTCCCTGTGTGCCTGCATTTGCTGAAATTGTCCCTTGCACACAGTATCATTTTCTTTCCGTTTTTCGAGGACTACTATAGACACCATTCATTGCCTTTCATTCTGTGCCAGTCACTTCACTTTTCCTTTTCACATTTATACTATCAATTTCCCTCTCTTAGACTCCTTGCCTGCCATTTCCCAATATAAAACTATAATTCATGACATATTTTTAGAGATGAATCAAATGAAAAGGGTGAAAAGATGGAGACACATTCGGGGAAAGTTAGAAAGGGCTAAGGAATGTGAAAGCTCTGGGAATCTGACAGTAAAATACAGATGAAGCGGACGGAGATAAAGTCTAACCTTCTCTGAGGTACAGGCCCATTGTCCATGGCTTCTACAGTCAAAGCGTAGCTCCGCCCAACAGTGAGATCAACAGTTGGTGCCACAGTAATGATCCCAGTGCTGAAAAAACAGAATATTCAGTTTTCAATGATTATGGATATATTGTTGTGAACACTTGAGCAGAGAAGCAGAACGGTCCTCCATCAGTGGATGCATTCAGGAACGATACAAAGTGTAGGTCATCCTCATTTTGGCAGTGCTCATTGCCAAACATTTCTTCACAGTGCTTGAAAAATGACATTTAAGCATAAAACTACATTACAGTGTTGTCATGCTTGATATACAATTAAATGAGATTTTCCGCTGCCTGCGAAGAAAGTGGTTTTGATAAATAACGACAATTTTTTTGTTCAAACGCACGTGACAAGGAGCACTAAAAGGCATGTTGAAACTCCTTCTGTGAGAATCCTTAAGAGGTGCTGCTAGATGTTTTGTTTAGCCTTTTTAGAGCCTTGATCATCTCATCAAACTCTCAGCGAGAGACCTTTTTTTCCAAACTTTTACTTTATGAGTAAAATATTTTCACCTGTTGCCAATAACAAAATGTCCCTGGTCTCCGGCTAAGATCCGGTAAGTGATCTGACCGTTGGGACCTGCATCGGAGTCGACTGCTGCGAGCTGGAGAGAGATACACAAACACACAAAAGTAAATTATGTTGCAAACACTAAAAACATCCCACAAGTACAGTAAGAACTTTTTTTTATTAGTGTGTTTCTCAGTGCGTACCTTTAACACAGTTTCTCCAGACATCATATCAGTGAACAGGTTGATATTATAGGAGACATTAGCAAAAGTGGGAGTGTTGTCGTTGGCATCCAACACGGTAATCGTCATGGTAACAGGGATGCTCTGCTGGACGCCGTCTGATGCTAAAAGCTGTAGGAACAAAAGACAAGAACAATGTATTTTTTATTGTTGACAAGAGGAAAGAAAATGAAATGTTCCCTCTATGAGAAAATGTAACACTCAGCCGAGCTACACAAAGCTACCTTTAGAGAATCCTGAGGTGGGCGGACTATGTACAAAATGTGTCCTTGACATCTTGATAGTGTCTGTTTGTTCTCTTGTTTCTTTTGAGCTGTTCTGTGTTTCTTTCAATCCAAATCCCTGCTTTTTGGTTTATTTATACGCTTTTGGCTGCGACTAAGAACTCAAACACCATTTCCTTTCAATAATTGCTGTTCCCCACTGCCTATAATGTTTGCTTGAAATGTGTTTAAGTCACAAAAAGAGACATAAACAAACATTTGCTTCCCATTAATTATGTTAATGTGCCTTGAACTTGACTTAAGATATCATTCTACAGTTTCTTCTATGACATGTCGCACTAGGACATTTCACCACTTTGATATATGCTCTTCACTGTCTTGCCATGCTAACCTTACATGTCCCCTCTGTTGGCTCTAGCTTATTAAATAGCGCAGACACTTGAGGGCTTGTAAATTTTCTCATCTATCCCAGCTGTCAAGCAAATGAGCACATTTCTAAAATTGATGAGCTATTTGTGTAACAAGATCTCAGTAACCATTATAACTATGTGTTCCTTGTAAATACTGTATACAACTGTGTTATTTCAGCTTTTTAGATCCACAGAGAAACATCCATTGTGTAATTAAATCTAATGTAGCAAAGTATTTCTTTATTTGGTATTATTCCAATGTATTTAAAGAGAGGATGAAACTTAAACACTCAAAGGTGGGAAGAGTGTCTGAGCTTGCTGTCGAATCATCTTAAAAATACAATTAAATATGAAGAAATAAAATGTTTAACGAAGCAAGCAGGCCTTATGTCATGATATTGGTCTCTTTTGTCCTTCAAATAACATACAAACAATTTAAAATGCACGCTTTTGTATGTAAAAACAAACAAATGTAACTTGTCCATCCATAACGCATATCAGTGCACATCTACAGAAGCAGTAGAAGCTTCTTCCCTGATAGCAATCTCCTCCTTAAGCTCATCTGCCAAGAAGGTGATGGACTCCTTTAAAATGAAAATCATCCTCCATGTCTCATAGCTCTCTCTCCCTGACTTTAATTTCTCCTGCAAGGCTTTCATGATGATTACTGTACACCTCTGCCGTTCAATCAATACACAAGGCCTTCGGCTTTTCCCGTCTTTAGATCCAAATAGCTGCACGCAAGCACTGGAATGCATTACCTCACACAATATGCTGCACTCCCACACACGTACGCACACCCCGAGCGTGGTGGAAGTAAAATGAGTAATACAACAGAGTAGTACAATCCTGTGGCAAGCAAAAGTCCTCCATTCAAAATACAGTACAAAAGTATTTGCATCAAAATAGACTTATTATAATAAAAGTAAGAGTGCTCATATTGCAGAATTCGCCATTGTTCAGATTATATTGTAAATTATTCTACTGAATTGTAATTATTGATTCATTATCGTGTGTATCACTTTAAAAGGTCCCTATTATGCTAATTATTAGGTTTCATTTTTGTATGTTGTGCTTTTACTGTGACATGTTTACTTGCTTTAATGTTCAAAAAGCCCTTTATTTTTCTCATACAGCCTGTGCTGCCACACCTCTTTTCACCCTCTGGTTGAAACCAGAGCCCAGTCTGCTCTGATTGGTTAGCTGGCCAGCTCTGTTGTGATTGGTCAACCGCTTAGAGAAATCCTGTTCCTTAGCCTATCACGTACAATGTGTAAGCCAATAGAAGCACAAGTATTAGTAGTGATGACACTATGTTGTAGAAATAATACTTATAAAAATACAATACAATTTTAGATTATCGTACTTCTTATATAATACATCTATCTTTAATACATCTTCGTCATGTATTTTTTTTCATTCATATTTGTATTGTTAACCTTAAACTGAAATTTGACTGGAATTAACATTATTAAACACCTGTAGTGGAGTGATATGATCAATATTTGCCTCTGGAGTGTAGTGGAATTTAAAGATAGGGTTTATGTAAGTTTCAGGGTTCATAAACTTTTTCACCAATGACTTTTCCATGACTTTTCCATGACCAAAGAAATTACTCTTCCTCAGCGGTACAATGGAAAATGGTTTATTTTAAAATGGAACAGGAAAATAAGGTCTGAAACATGTTGTGCCTATCTAAAACAAATCAAATAGTAGGCTTACTACACGCTAAAGCAACTAAAATCTCTCACCAGCAAAATACCTCATCAGTTAAATTCCATTTTATGTTTCATTTTTATACGATACAATATTTATTATCATTATAGGATTATTATTTTGGCGGTTAGCTAAAATATAAATTATATTTGATGCAACTTTAGTTACATTTCCATGACTTTTCCAAAACTTTGGGAAAAATATTGTTTTCCATAACTTTTCCAGGGCCTGGAATTTGCATTTTGAATTTCCATGACTTTTCCAGGTTTTTAATGACCGTAAGAACCATGAAGTTTGAGAAACCGGCTCGAGATACACTTTTTGTTAATATTCCATGGAATGCTCTTAACATCCCTTTGACAAAAAATCCATAAACAAATGTCATCTGTTGAAGCCGTAGTACTGTAAAAAGCACGACCAATCATTTTAGCCGGCCCTGCTGAAATAGATTGTACTGAAATACGAATACAAGAGTGAGAAAGGCCGATTGAGAAGTAGACAGCGCAACAAAAGAGGGTAAAAAAGGGCGAGAAAAGGGCCAAAAAGTCGAGTGGGAGAACAAACCATAAAGAACACAAGACATGCTGGCAGTGATACTGACGGAAAGAGATAAACACAAAGGAACAGCCATCACTCTATAAGCTCTGTTTTTTTCTACATCTATTTCAGTACTGAGTGATACAAGAGCCAAGTTCTGACTGCATGCTGAAAACCTGCCAACCATCCATGAGAGCCCTGCTAGCCACCGCTAAACAAAGCTATAGAAGCTGTGTTAAAATAAATATTCAAACAATAGTGGAGGTTAAAGTGTCTACACTGTCTACATCTATGCTTCCCATTTCCTTTCAATCTATGTCAATGTTTATATTCTCTTTAATCACCTGCCGCCCTATTAATCCTGAATCTGTTTTCCTCCCTTTTAAAAGTGCAGCCACCTCTGCATTATCTCCTCCTCACTTGAAATGTGACGGCCTCAATGGAGCTACACATTCAACACATCCCTCTTCTCTTTCCTCTCCATCTATCTCACTCTCCTCATGTCTTCTTCTCTTCCTCTAGGCAACATTTGTCACTCCTCCCCTCTTACTTTGTCCACCGTTTGCCCCTCTTCAGTAGATAGGAGTCTTTTTTCAAGGCCGCCACTACGTTTTTTCAAGGGTGTCTGGTTTGAGATGAGTTATTCAAATGCATTCACACACACACACACCCCCACACACACCCACACACACACACACACACCCACACATTTTATAGGCTGAAGTACCGTGAATTTATAGGAGTCCTGTGTCTCTCTGTCCAGTGGCTGCACCAGGGTGAGATATCGTCTGATTCCAGTAGCAGACACAGAGAAAACATTAGAATAGCTGTCCAATGAGAACTGGAGCTGAGGGTCCCTGGTCTGTTGGAGAGAAAGACAGATGTTTAGAGGAACAGAGAAGACATTAAAGTCAATACATTTTGTCTTTTTTAACCCAGGGAGGATACTATATCTACCGTATCGCTCGCGGAGCATACATAAAGCTGTTGCACATTTAAACCTGCGAGCCACTCAGTGCAACAACAGCAAGAAAAGATGGCTATTAAGCACCTTAACGTGGAAAAAAAGGAATTCACCGGCAATTCAGAAACAATTTTGGTTACTTTGATGAACATGCAGTGAATAATCAAAAGGGAAGATTTTGAGAAGGGAATGTTTCCCTGGCTCTCTTTCTCACACATTTGTATATGTTTTACAAGTCAAAGCAAAACAGGAATAAATAAAGTGGAGAAACATAGCAAAGGAAAATGTTTCCATATGCAAAATAGCAGCGAGCAAAACAAGTGCTTAAACAGGAAGGTGAATGAAAAACATCTCCAAGGTTTCTTCACATAAAAAACGTTCCTAAGAGAAGTGTGTGTGTGTGTGTGTGTGTGTGTGTGTGTGTGTGTGTGTGTGTGTGTGTGTGTGTGTGTGTGTGTGTGTGTGAGAGAGAGAGTTAAACTCAGTGATGGAGAGGCAATTCCAGTCCTCCTCTGACATTACCCACATGCACCTTTTTTGCTGTGTGTATGCAGTATAAATGTGTGTGTGTGTGTGTGTGTGTGTGTGTGTGTGTGTGTGTGTGTGTGTGTGTGTGTGTGTGTGTGTGTGTGTGTGTGTGTGAGCTCTCATTCCAGATAAGGCTAGCTCAGCAGGGTAGGAAGGCTGATAATATTGTTGATGTAGCCTGTGTAGATAGAGTCATAAATAAGCACACACACACACACACACACACACACACACACACACACACACACACACACACACACACACACACACACACACACACACACACGCACACGCAAACACAGTCTGCAGATACATAAATAAAAGTGATGGCCGGCACATAAAAGCAATTAGGACTAATCATCATTGTTGGTACTTAATGCTGGTGGAAAGACCGGGGTTAGCGGTATTTAAAATAGCTCAACGTATATCAAACGCCCCGAACACACACACATGATCCCCACTAATCTCATTCTTTATGTGGGGGTCTTTTAGAAAGCAACGAACCAAAGCTTGTTTTGTTAAAATGCCTACGCCACATGTTAAACAAACTAAGCTCAGGGGAATGCATGGCCATAACAATGCTGCAGCACTGTACATTCTTATATTATCACTGAGAGGCAATATTTTACTAACGGGATTCACGTTGAAATTAGATAGGGCACGTCACACACGGCAAAGCAAGGCACAAAAAAGAGAACCGGTCAAACAAAAAGAAAGATTGCTGAAATGTACACCTCAATGGCTCGATATTTAATTTATGTACAGTACTTCCTGTTTTAACACTTTCACCATGTTGCGGGTCTTGATACCATATGTGATTTAAATGTGTACAGTAGAATACACACTTGCGACCCCCAGATGAAAATTAACTGTTGGCCTGCCTTAACAGCATTTGTCAACATAGCTTAGCAATTGTAGCAAAGCATGTTTCCACGTATTAAAGTGGTTGGCACAGAGCTGTATTAAAAGTGATTCTAAAATCATTTTGGAGTTGTATGGTTTTTTTATTTTAGCGTTTTAATTTATACCGTTTGCAAAACAAACGAGCATAGGTGAAATATGGATTCAACAGTATGTTTGTCTACTCCAACGTGAGCTGCAAATGTTAGCATTCTCGGCTAAAAGCTATTGCGACAGTTTTCTTTTCAGTTGACAAATCCAAAAAGGCACTGGCTCGAATTAAGAGGACTGTTTTGTTGCCTGCTTTTGCCAATATTATTCCAAAATCTAAAATAATTTAGGAAAAATAAATCTCCTTGCTTTATGTCTGTTAAATGTTTATGTGCTCTGCAGGAATGAAGAGCTCAACAGGGGTACCACCAGCAACGTGTGGGCTTTGCGAGTTGTCCAATTCCATCTGGCAAAGTGAACATCTCAAATGAAAACTAAAGCAAATTTCTTCTTTTTTTTTATTTGTACGACTTGTCATGATGTATGAATATAATCACATTTACCAGTGGAAGCTTCAGATAACTCAAACAACCGGGGGAAAGGTTTAATCAGCAATCTTAATTGATACCTACAGGCATCTCAAAAGGAAGTAAATGTTAGAAATAATGTAAATGACTCCTTCAAGGTATAAGGCTGCCGCATAATTTGAAAATAAATATAAATATAAATAAGGTGGTCATAAACTCTTAAATGAAATACATGCATTTGCACAAAAGTGTTTGAGTATAAAAGCCATGGTGTGAAAGATGAAAGCTGCACTGTTCTCTATATTTAAAATATCCTCATTCTTAATATAAAGTGTGACATTTAATTGTCAGAACATATCAATCTGCTCATTATGTCTTCAGTCAGTGATGGCCCTGTGTTCTTTCATCCTCACCTCCTCCACATCGTTATCCAGAGCCACGATGGCCAGCGGTGCAGAGAGACTGGCAGTTGTCGCTATGGTGGTTCCCACGGGTGATGCCTCACTGACGTAGCCATGGTAACTGGTCTCCAAGAAATAGGGTGCCTGGTTGTTTTCATCCAAAACTTCTATTTGAAGGTTGGCGAAAGCTGGCAATGGGTGGCCGTTGTCCTGCTCTGCCTAAAGGGGAGAAAAATAATTGCTCTTTTTGGCTGCAATGCTTTACCTTCTGTTCTCACCCGCCACCACTCTGCTGGTGAAGCTCTTTTTAATGATATTGCTTCCCATAATAAATATGTTAAAAGATACAAAAAATGTCCTCAAGGGAGTAGATTTTATTAAGAGAAAAACTGCACATGAAAGTTGATCTTAACCTCAGAGCAGTAGTAAATCCCAATTTGGTTTTGATGTATTCCTCTAGAAGAAGTACAATTTCTACATTTGTCAGTGATTCTAGTAATATACAGGAGCTATATATTAATATATACTATTTAAAAGTTAAACTTCTATTTTCTTGCTGTTATTGTTTATTGTAAATGTACCTTTTATTTAGTTCACTTAGCCAGATTGAAGTAAAAATATTGTTTCACAAGAAGAGCTTTTTATACTATTTATTTTTGTATTACTTTAAAAACTTCAGCCATCAGGACAGCAAGACCCCATAAAAGCTAATCAAACCAGCCACTGTGTATACTGCAGTTTCAGGTACCATTTGGGGACCCCGTGTAATTCTGTAATTTCCTGATGTATAATATGCCATCAGGAACGATGAGCTTAATCATTGTGGAGCACATTTAATTCCCCACCTGACCTCCCCCTGTAATATGCAAAAAGGGTTAAGGGACAGATTAGGCTGCTTAAAGTGTAATGAAGGTCAAAAATCTCAATCACACACAACTATACAACTTTTTTCTAATTTGCAGTTTTCTCCCATGATTATTTTAATCTGTTTGCATTTCATTTATATTCTCCAGTTCCCTCACACCTCATTTTTACCATCCCAAAAGTACAACTATGTAATACAGTTTCAAGTTATGTTATTATTATATACACCCATTTACACTAATTACCACACACCTTTAACTACAGAACAGTAAAACCCCCCTAAAGAGAAAAAAATGCATTTTTAATTTCAGTAATGCATGCTTGGTGGTGTGATTTTATTACCAGCCTAATTAAGATGAAAACGCACAAACAGCATGAGCTAGATCTAATGATTCACAATTACTGGCACTTATTGTGTTTAAGGTAGGCTTATTTTTAATTGACAGTTAACATGAAGCAGCACCTGAATATATTGCTGGGGGTTGGATACACTTTTAAAAGAAAAGCCCTGCACATCAAGGTGCTGATTTTATATAAAAAATTAAAAAAAGGCCTGGAGAAAATCAAGTCAGTCCCAGTGTGTCTCACCTTGATAACCAAATCAAATCTGCGGTGGAGTTCCCTATCGACGGGCTTCAGTAGCAGGAGCTCCGCGGTGGTTGCGTTCAAGCTGAAATATTCCGCATAGGACTGTGGTTTGCCTGAGAAAGGGGGAATAAGACACAAACTGAACAAAACAAAATATATGAAAAATAAGGCTAGTATGCGTCTGAAACAGGCCGAGACATCAGTAATTGGTTTAAGAATCAATATACTGTATGTTTGTCGTACAGAGAATATAAAAGATACAGGGGAGTGGGGGGGGGGTAGAGCCAGAGAGCGCGATGGCTAATGCTTTCATGTTTTTCTCATCTTTGCTCTCCACAGGTGGTGATGCACCAACATATGTGGCGCTTTCAAATGCTGCATTGCTCAGTGGGAACATTACATTTTGTGAGACGAGCAGCAACACAGGCACATGACACAAGAAAGCAAGAGATTGAGGAAACAGATGTTTGGGTTTGAGTTCCTTTTTTTCCTACTAGGTGTGTCCTTGGGCTCAGGCTCTGCTTTGATATCCTTTTTAGTCGTCCAAAGCAAATACCAACCACTGTTTATGTACTGTCTGATGAAGGTCGTTCCAGCTAAAACCATATTTTAAAAATGTAATCTTCCTTTATTGTCCCCCAAGAGACATGTTTTTATGTTCATCTTGTGTAGACCTTGGAGGATCTGCAGAGTTGCAACAGATTTGTTTGCCCGTTGTGAAACTGTCTCTAATCTTACTCAGGCCGAGATTAGTTTCACAGGAGGAGTCTGGGAAAAGTAATCGAGACAGTGTCAAGTCACGTCAGTACATTTTTACGGACGCGGCAGATCTTCTTGAGTAAAAGTCAGAGTTTTTTGCGGCTCTGCATATTAAAGTTTTGAACATTAATCAAGATGTCTCGCAGTGATGGTGGACTGTTGCTTCTATTAATCAATTTCAACTTGAGGTACTTGGGATGATTAATCGACAGGCAATCCCATCATTCATATTTTAGGGGGAAAAATGTATAATTTGCAAATTGACTATAAGCATCCTGTTTACAACAAAAGTATTTTAATTAATCTAAAGATGTCCTTCTTAGGAAACCCAACAACACTTTTTCAAAAAGCTAAAAATATGGCTTTGGGTTAATATTTGGGATTCTGCACTTTGAGTTTTTTGATTCAAAAAGATCAAAGTGTAACATATTTGTCAGAGAGATTGTTTATGTTCCTATGCTAGTCATGCAAGTCATGTATTTGAATACAATCCTCTACAATTGTACATTTGGTTTTATATTGCACTTTAGTAAACATTCTTGGTGACAACCAACTCAACTGAGAAACGGTTTATTTAAAAAGAAAAAATTAAAAAAAGGGGGAATATATTTGATGATCAATATAACTATTATACAAATATCCAATATTATCACAAATGTATATTGACTCAATGTACTGTATAAGCCTTATTTCTTGATAGCAGTGTCAACTATTTAAATGTAAACTTACCGATGAGAATGGAGTAAATAATCCCGGGCCGGTCGGAGGGAGGCTGAAGGTTTATGTCTTGATCCACAGCTTGAATGGGTGGAGTCACATTGACAGGATTTGCCTTGTTCTGGAAAGAGAAACCAAGGAGGGAATTCAAAGCTGAAATCACAACCATAAGAAACCACAACAGTTATGAAAGTATGGAAAACATCTGACCTATCAAGGTACAGGAATTGAGAAAATGTGACACATTGCTGCAACAACATTTTTATTTTAAGAAGATATACAAAAGACAGCACGAAATAAAGAAATAATCAACCAAACAAACAAACAAACAAACTTGAAATCGACCAACTTCTCCCCAATTGTGCGAGCTATAATTAAAAACAGCTACAGCTCAAAGTGAAAGCTAAATATATTTACTGGCGATCTCTTCCACCGAGTTGTTCTAAGGTTTAAAGGAAAGCTTTACGTATGCAGCAACAAGCTCAGTGCATGCCAGCAAAGCAAGGGAGAGTCAAACAGAAAGAACAGGAGAATCAATTGTTGGCAAAAATCCCATGTGGTATTCATTAAATCACATATAGAGCAAGTGAGCACGTGCACTTCCACACATACAACTGTGTTGACGCGTGGAAAGAAAAAG